AGACATATACAATCCTGGTAGGTATAGACACATACTAGATCACTCCCAATATCATGTTGTCCTGTAAAGCTGTAGGTAGCAGTGATTTCTCTCATGCTCTTACTAAACTGACTAGTCCGAGTAGTCTGAGTACACTCTCCTCTGTTATGTATTCAACTAGTAAGAAGTTAGAGTTTGGATCTGAATTTGAGCCAATTACTGGTTCAGAAAGAGATGAAATACTTGAGGTTTGGAGTTATAGTTTATTCCTCTCTTAGTTTTTGTCTCCTTCCTTGTGTTGTTTCTGTTTTTAGTGTTTGTTTCCTGATTCTGTTCCTGGTAGCAGTGTCTCTGGCCATGAACAATTAACTGAAGTTTGTCTTATCTTTTCATTACACAATAATCATGTTATCATTATTTATCTTAAGGATTCTCTCACTCGTGAATTAAAGTCAGCTCCTCCTAATAGTCTCACAATGCGTCTAGCCAAAGCTTTCTGTAACATTCATAATGATTATGGTATGTATAAACTTACTGTGATATACACAATGTACATTCAATATTCATGTACATGCACATTCCACTACATATGTACACACACTATCAAAGGTCATATTGTATTCTGTGTCTCTAGGTCTTAAAGCAATGGCTCATATTTGGTATGAAGTGATACAGGAACTACGCTACAGGTGGGAGAGTGGTAAAGCGTTACCAAGGTAACTATAATTAACTATCAGTTTACATTATGTACATGAACTGTCTCAGTTTAGGGAAGAGTCATCCTGACATGTCTTGTTGTCTCTTACATCAGAAATTACAGGTAAACCATTATTATTATAATATCCTTGTGTATCATTTTGTTTATCATTTTGCTTTTTATTTTGTTTATCATTGTTCTTTAGCATCATTACTATTATACTTTTGATATTAACTGAATATAGTATGGCACAGTTGACAGTTTAGCTTTTGAAAATTAATTTATAAAAAATCTATTTTTAATCAGAATAAACTGCACATGTGTATCAGAAAAAATATTAAAATGGAGAATTTTCTCCTTTTCAATTTTGGCAAAATTTGGCCCAAGACCCTGACACAGGGGCGTAGCCAGGGGGGGCAAGGGGGGCAATTGCCCCCCTTTTTTAAATCAAAATTTAGAATAGTCAAATAATAAGCTGCTTTTGGAAGGAAAAGCTGTTCTACAACTTACATGTACATATGAAAGAAAAAGACCAAAGCAGTCTTTCTATGATGCCATTATAAGGCTGAAAAGGTATTCAACATTGCCTATGATTGGTCAAGAAGTCCGTCATGTTAAAAAATAGGTGTGGTTATGCCCCAAAATGGCATGGTTTCACAAAATTTCATGGCACGCTTCGTGCATTGCACAGCTTTCCCCCTCTTTTCAAAAATCTTGGCTACATCACTGACACCCTGTATTAAAGGGCCTTTTGCCAGCTTTTTAAGCTCTAAAAGAGTCAAATTTTGTAGCTCCAACTTTTATGCAACAAAAGCAACAAATTCTCAGTTAATTGGGCTATTGTGCTAGAAATTTAGCTACTTTACCTTACATTATATCAATTTGTCAAAACATAAAACAATCCATACTATGTGTTCTGCTGATGTAGCATATTCTCTACACTCTCGCTCTCTCATTCATTAGATGTTAAACAACTGTATACTACACAAGATATCACATGCTAAGAGACTCCACTACTCTCAGCTATCAGCAGAGACTTCAGAATCCAAACTCTCCCCTAGCCCTCAAGAGCAGAGCCCAACCTCTAGTCTCAGTTTTAGTCAGCGAATACAACGTCAGACATCAAGCGAGCAACAGCCACTCCCACAAACCCCTCCCTCATCAACCGGGTATCACAAGAGCACCAGCAGTGATAGTGATGAGGAGTTCTTTGAAGCTCAGGAGACCTTTGAAGAACACCATAAGGAAGACTTTAGTACTTCTTCAGTGTCTTCGCTAGACTCAAAAACAAAAAAGCTTTTGGAGCATATAGTGCCTCAACTCTGCATTTACTGTAATCAAATTTTGATATCATTATTACTCATTAATTTTAATCCAGGCTTTATCATTTGGAGTCACTCATCAGCCCAATATGCTTGAGTGAAGCCA